CCCCCCCCCCCCCCCCCCCCCCCCCCCCACGGCTGCAGTGCCTTCCTCACTTCTGCTCGGATCCCCCGCTGCCTCTGCCCAGGAAAGCAGCGGAGATTCAGAGGAGAAGCTGAGCCCCCCTTTGTTTGTGCGTGGCCGAGCGGCAGAGGATCAGTACATATCAATTATATGTACCATTCCTCTGTGCAGGACAAACACTGGAGCGATCAGCTGATCACTCCAGTGTTTGTAAATAACTGGGGACACATAGTACTATGTGTCCCCAGTTATGAATGAACAGAACGTTATCTACATCACTTCTTGTTCATTCATGAGTTTCCCAATGGGGAGAAGCACTCACTACAGAGGCTCCTCCCCATTGAGAAACTGCTTGATAGTAAATATTTTCTTAATGAATGGGAAGCCTCTGTGCTTTCCATTCATTTAGTACAGAGGCTGCAATTTCTTTTTCTATTTTAAAAAGGCAATATCAGGGGTCTGTTTAGACCTCTAATATTTCCCGAAGTATATAATGTATGTGATATCTATGTATGTGTGGTTTCTTTTTATAATAAGTGTGTGATGTGTGTTTTATTGAGTGTATAAATGTTTGAATATGTGTGTTTCCCTATTTTGCCTAAGGCAGTGATGTTGAATGTTTTTTAAAGCCCAGCGCCCAAACTGCAATACAACACTATACTTATTTTCAGCGCTGGCACTTTGAGATAAATAAATTGATTTTGCGTCGCAGTTTGGGCACTCGGGTTCAAAAACGTTCGCCATCACTGCACTAGACCTTATGTAGGCGAAGCATAGCAAAGGGGGTGAATACATATGCACGCAACACTTTCTTGTATTTTTTTTATTTTTTTAAACAAGTTATTTCCTTGATTTCACTTCTACATTTTGGACTGTTTTCTGTATGTCCATTACATGTAATCCAAAAAAAAATCATTTTTTTTGCTGGTGGTAATGCAACAAAATAGGAAAAATGCCAAGGGGGTGAATACTTTTTGCAACCCACTGTATTTTAGGCATATTAGTGTTATTTCTATAACTAGCTAAGTAATAAAGTCAACCTAATGAGAGATTGCTCACCATAGTTGATCAGGGTGTAATTTCCATATTGTACGTCCCTGGGATACCTTTACAGTTTGTAAGCTTGAGGGACTGTTCACACTGGATGTGGTGACTGGTGTTTTTCAGCAACTGAACAACGCCAGTCATTGCTAGGGCACATAGGAAACAATTATTTGTGCCCCGTTCACACCGCAATGCAGGCCTGATCCTTGGTGTGGTGCACTATGAAAAAAGGCAGACATGCTGGATTTTTTGAAGGGCACTGGACTGCACCGCAGTGCCGCACATTGCGCTGCTGTGGGGGGACCTGAATAGAGTGACCATTTTGTTCATTCTAAATTAAATTACATCACACTAGCTTGTCTGCAGAAATGCTACGTTTTAGCGGACATGATAGTATGAATGAGCCTTGAAACAAAACATCTTTTGTATGCACAGTTATACTCCTTGTGTGACATACATGATGTCTATGGTACATGTGACAAAATGTGACATTCCTAATGATTTTTCTTGTCATTTGTAACAAATAAATGTGACATAGGGAAAACCCATTCTTCATGGGATTTTGTAGGTATTATTGTATGTGGTTGGGATTGTTTTCTACAGTATTAGTTCTTAAAACATTGGTTTAAAAAAATATAATCTTTAAAAAATAAACCCAAAACCATTCTGGTCATACTTTAAATGATTTGGTGTTTGTTTCATCCAGGGAAATGTTAAAGCCATTTTGACCTGCCACTTTTTTTGCACATCTAACTTTCCCTGTTCCTTACTTTTGTTGAATTCTCCAGGGCACGGTCATGGCATCCTATTGGTCAGACTTGCTGGAGTGGAATTAACTCCAAGTGGCCAGCATTGGTTGCTGACTAATCTCCAGCCTTCACAGAGGCTGTGGTTTCAGCTTCTGAACCGAGAAGACTCTATGCTTGACTGTTTCATCTTTATCAACAGGGTAAGAATTTGATTGTCTCGTCAAAAGCGTTATTTTACCATCATAGAAATAACATTTTGTATCAATAATTTAATCTTCTATCAAAATCATGAAAAATGACACGACTGCATTGGTGAGATTAAATGCTTTTCAGGGCTTGGTTGACTTGGATTCTTAAGAGAGTCATGTTTTGTACTAATGTATTTTAAGCATCTTTCCTCTGGTTTTAAGAAACCACTCTTGACATAGCCAAACATTTAAAGAGACTTGGATACATGCCCTTGGAAAGATGTATGATAAATAAACAAGGGCACCACAGTTATCTTAGGGATATATACCATATATTCCTTGCAATTTGTTGCCACTCCATTAGTGCCTTTGAGCCTGTGGAGATGGGCAAATGCAGCTTGCTTGTAGGTACATTCCACTTGCATTCAAGATCAGTTTTATACTTCTGAGATTATTCAGAATTCATTGATAAGTGCAGTTGACTTGTATCTGACGCTTGCATTTGGCCACCTCCTGACCTGCAGTTGACCACTTTTTGACCAATTTAACATCCTTTTAAGCTGCATAAACCTGTTTCAAGCTGCTTTTGTATTGGCATTGATTTGTGAGGAAAGATAACTTGTTTGAACATGAACAAAAATTCATCGACACAGGCCCTAAGTCATCTAAACACTGATTTAGATATAGAAAGGGATTTTGGTTTTGTTTATTGTTTCGTCCATTATATTTTTCCTTTTACATTTTTTGATCAAATTTTTTATTAATAAAACATATTTGTAATCATAGAATTAAACCAGATATTATACATTGTGCACTGTATTTGACCTGCAGATCACGTTCAATGAGATTGGAGCAAGCAGAACAAATTAGGTCATAAAAAACCCCTCCTATGTTTTGTGTTTGCAAATAGACATCATACACAGACACATTCTATTAACCCATATCACAGCATTTCTCAAACTCTTCTGATACTCTTCCAGAAATGCTTGTTGTGTGATATGAATTTCTTTACCAGTTTCTTTGGCACAATAACTATCAAGGGTTAGTGGGAAAAAAGACCGCCACAGCTCACCTTGGAACCTGCATAGGTTAGATATTTTGACCTGGAACGTACTGCTTTGTAGTTACCATATTGTACCTGCACAGCATACTGTATGATCACACGTGTGTGTGTGTGTACAGCTTTATATTTTTTTTTTACAGAATTAGGTTGGCCGTAAATAGGTAGGCGAATTTCGATATAAACAGCGGGCAGGGACACATTTTTTCATCAAAAAGAATCAGGACTCTGTATATATGAAATGATTAAGCCATTAAAAGAAGATGGCACTACCTTTATACCTTCATTCTTGTCAGTGAGAAGATGAGTTTTTCTTGTGGCGGCAGTCATACATTATTGCCTCTTTAGGTGGCTCAAAATGACTGAGTATTGCACTTAGGTGTCGAATCAGGAAGGGATCAGTCTTAAGTCACCTAATTGGGTTTCACACATTTTTTACATGTAAAAAGTTGTAATTTACAGATTCCATTGACACAACTAGATTTAATTTGTAATCTGTGTCGAGATATTATGGTCTAACAGACTATCAGGGCTATTCACAAAAGGGTGAAGAGTTTGGAGAAGGCAGGAGAAGTGAACAATCTAGGCCAACATAGCTGATTTGGAAAAATTCTCCAATTCAGCTCACTTTCCAGTTCAGCTATGTTGTCCTAGATTGTTCACTTCTCCGGCCTTCTCCAAACTCTTCACCCTTTTGTGAATAACCCTGTATATGTACTAATGGTGTGCTTGTGCTTCATAGGAAGGGAATATAAACATAAATGAAAATAAACTTGTGTGTATGTATGGGTGTATTTGAATATATTGTCTTGTGCAACCGTACAAAAAGTGTTAGAAAATACAACATGTCATGGAAGAAACGACAGCCTCCAAATGTTTCTTATGACATTAATATTCTTGACCTAGACATTTTTACGAAGATTAAAACTTTAGCACATGATGATTTTTGTGTAATAAATGTATATGTGTGTTTGTATGCACACACATTGTTACATTTGAGCACACAGACATTATATATATATATATATATATATTTGTATCTGATGAATGAGGAAAGGTTGAAAAGGTATTCTATAGACTGAGTACACAAAGCAATGCAGGATGATTATCATATCAGTGTAAACACAGAAGAAACCCGTATTTCCTGATTTTCTTGAGCACTTTTAACTTTTTTACTTTCCTTTTCAGCATGTGTTCAGTTAAACAGGGCCAACAATTACTGCGTTTATGCAGGAATCCAAGTATTCAGTTATACATTATAACTGTGCCGCCTCATCTAAGAAAATGTGAAATGTAACCCTTTTTAGGTTTCATTAATTTGTCTAGGAAGGACAGTTGGGTAGAGGATTAGAGCTGATCAGCCCCCTGACGTGGGACATTAGCTGACTAGTCAACTATCTGATCTCATGCTAAAACACATTGTCCTCCAGCAGTTAAGTAATGTAGGTGTTTGCATTTCCTTTTATTGTAGGGCTCTGTTTTTTTATACTGTTAAGAACACTCAGGGCAAATATAATCTTCTATAGTTAAGCCTGCTCATTTTATAGTATTTTAGTAATAAGTGAATATTCAGATCTTTAAAAAAAAAAAGAAAAATGGTGACTGGTTCTTTTTATGACTACCTATGCACGTAAAATGGTTATACATAGAGAGATGTTTTATCATGAAGTATGATGTGCTAGTGCAACAGCCATAGCAGATGAAGAAGAACCCAATTCAACCCACTGAGTTGGAAGATTTTGTCAGCACCCCACTGTTGTTTTTCTGAGCACTGTTCAGAGGCAGAGGAAGCCACATTGACAGTCCATGTCTATCTGGTGTAAAGGCAATATAGTGTATATTTACACATTGGCAACACAAATACTTGTTTGATGATCCCATTACTTGATAAAGAATGACGAGAAATTTACATCTATAGCTAACGTAACACTATAATGTCAAAGATGCAACATGTCTTCACTGAGCAGTTGGTTGAGAGCCATTCTGTCCCAAAAAAATTGTTCTTATTTAGCTTTGTGAGGTATGGATCATTTAGGGCCATTTGCAGGGCCAGATTTACCATTAGGCAGAGTGCACACATGTCTACAGGTACCCTCCATAGAGTGGCGCCGTGCAGGTGCCTACTCTGCCTAATTCTCGGTGTTGTGTCAAGATACAACACCGGCAGTAGCAAGGGGGGTGCATTCTGCCCAAACTGCCCCCTCCTGTTCCAAGACCAGCTTCACCTACAGAAACCGCCGGCTTCCGCGAACACAGGCACTGCGCAAGGCTGCCCTGTAAAACACCTGTCTTATGTAGACAGGCGTTTAGGGCAGCCTCATGTGATGCCAGGGTTCTTTTCTGTATATGTGAAAGCCACATATACAGCAGGTAAGGACGCCAGCTTAGGCTAAACAGATTTCAAAATGGAAATCTGGCCCTGGACATTTGGGCCCAGTACTGTTTCAGTTCTTATTGTTTTTTATGCTACATGATGCTTTGTGTTCTTGAAAGTTGTGCAGATTTTCATAACCACAAATTGCTTTGCAACAGACCCTCAGACAAAGTTTCCTTCACCTGACATGCACATTCATTGGTGTGGGCAATCTTCATGTATTTATCCAGGCCCCGTGGTCTATAGTCATTCATCCCTGCTTTTTCAGCCATGATGTTTAGAGAATTAGAAAAAAGAGTCAACATTGAGATCTACGGATGCCATTTTGACAATGTTGGAAGGGAATTGGAGATCTAATAAGGCATATTCAGGACATAACCCTTGGAGGAAGGATTTTTCTGGTCTCACAGAAAGTCCAGTTATTTTTGGAACTTACGGAAAGTGAAGGCTACAGACAGTGGCCATCGGCAATGTATCTGTACTTGCAATTACATTGGGCAGGATATCATCTATGTTTTGAATAGAGTGCTCATTCTCATTAATTTATATCTTATTGTATGTTTTCATGTCGGTTATAGCTTCTGCATGTCTTATTCTACAGCCCTGGCTAGGACTGCATAAGATATTGGTAATTTATGAGAGAATAATAGTAGAAACTGCCTTTTAAATGAACATACAGAATATTGATTAGAATCATATTTGTATGTTCTGCGCACTCTGCTTTTTTACTTCTTTTTTTATTTTGTATGCAGACTGGCAATGTGACTAGGCGTTAAAATTGCTGTTATAATACCCCTTTGTTTGGAAAAGTCCTTTTTACCTGTGTCCTACATTTCTAAGCCCAGGACACAATATCCAGATAAGAGCTAATAGATATAGCACAGTAGCAAAAAGCTAGGAAAGAATGGTTAACTTATGCTAATGTTACTGAACTATCAAATGAAAGTGCAGCAAACACAAGAGTTATCGTTTCCTATAACATTCTATTGTTACTAATGTCTTTGGTTACTCAGGGTGGGTTCTTTAATGAATGCCTGAACGTCGTGCTGCTTAAAGAAGGACTGGGAAGAGCTGCTCATATTTCCAGCAAACATGCAGAGCCTGGCCACCACTGGACATTTTACAAACGGCTATTACAAGCAGAAGTCCGTGCACAGAGAGCAAGAAAAGGCATCTGGGAACAGGAGAGCCAACTTGATGTTTTGAAAAATAAAATATTCACTCATAGTATTTTCCAGAAGACAAAGCAACTTCTTAATTCACTGGTCACTTACTGGAAACAATTTAGATCATGACAATAGATGTAAGGGTTATTGTTTATATGTACATGTGCAGCAAATGGCCGTGTTTAGTTTAGGTAGCTTGGGCCCTATGAATGATGGTCATAAAAGACAACTGTCTCACTCTGCATCCTGTAACCATAGTCCATGACTGTTTTTTTTATCGATTCTGTAACATTTCTTCTGCAAGGATGGAGGACATCAGGAAATGACATGGGGCAGAGACAGGCAAGTCAGGTTTCAGGGCTGCTATATACAATCACTCATTTTGATTTTATAACTATATATATATATTAGGGTGGCCAAAACAGCACATCATAAGTGATGTTTCTGATTTCAAACATTGCTCTTGGTGGTAATAATAATCACCTTTTGGCTGTTGGAGACACTTACATAGTGAGATGTTCCAGCTTGTTTTTATTGGGCCCATTACAGCCACCCTATCTTGTTTTGAACCTAAATAACAGATCTAATCCAATCTCAGAGGATTTGGTCACAATGAGATATCAAAAACTAGCTTTGGTGCGCAGGGATTGCTTCATAATGTTCAGTGTAGATGTCTTTCAAATGGACCTGTACTTATTCTGTGTTAGGCAAAGTAACAGAATACCTGGCCAGCAGACACTGTGCACTGAATGTTCTTACCTTTGCCCAAACCCATTCACTGCCAGCCCCCCCAACATTCTGTACTATGAGAGAACGTACAGGTTTGCTTACAGGGAAACTTTGTCTTGCTAGAGTGAACAGGAATCTATGGAACCTCCGGGTATGGGGAGTTTTGGACTCACTCTTCTTCTTTTCACAGAATAGCGCTAATATTGAGTGATTACCCACCCAAGGCTGTCACATGGGGAAGGGAGAGAACCCTCAGCCCCATGTGAGCTCCAAGTTGTGACTTTGAACCTACATAGGGCTTCCTTTTACCTCCCAATGGACAGAAAGAACAGCGTGGAAGAGAAGGTAAAGTGGAGCTGGAGAGGGTGGCAGTTCAGTGACTCTACACTTGTTAGCTGTTCCTTCAGATTTAAAGTGTATTTGTTGACATCACTTATATAAGAGAAGAAGGGGGATTTTCCCTTTCTACCTGACTCATTTTCTCTTATTCAGCCGGTGGGCTGAAAAAACAGTGTGGATGGAGTAATCTTGACTGCACCCACAGCTGCCTAATTGCAATGGCACTGCCTAACAGTGACTGCATCAAAAAGGATGCAGTTACTGTTTGGCCAATTTCTTGACATTTGTAGAGCCGGATAGTGCTTACAGGGCCACCTATGACTAACATTTTGGCCAAATCTGCACAAATTGGCTGAGATTCAAGTCTTCCGTGTGTGTATAAATCCCTCCATTTTCCCCATGTATGCTACACAGCATGGATGGAGGTATCTGCACTTCCAGCTATTGTACTCAGACAGCCATGACAGCTGCGGCTGCCTTAATACCTGAACAGTGACTGCATATGATTGGATGCAGTCGCTGTTGGCCATCAATTTTCCACCCATTGACTTTGGTCAAGCCTGGTGGTGCCAATAGGGCCACCCACGACTTGATGTTTGGCCGATTTAACAAGAATCGGCAAAATGCAAGTCCTCTAATAACCCTCACGACTGACTTTCCACTCACCATCTGCTGGCTGCAAGTGGTGAATATAAAAGGTTCATAAGCAGTGTATCATATTTGCATGACCAAATATTATAAAAAGGGAAAAATATTGTTTACTCCTCACGATAAAGAAAATATATCCAAGGACATTATAGATTCCCTTGAAAGGGAAATTCCACCTTTTGCAGAAAAACAATAAATGCACACTTCTTCATGCAGGAAAACAATGTGCACTTATTTATTTTTTCTGCAGAGGAGCCAGTAAAGCATTGCTACCGCAATCAGTAAATCAGTAGTGCGGTGACGTCACAACCTTTTCCGTGGTTTCTACATTTACAGATCCTGCCAAAGGATCTGTGAATGGATGACACTGCTGTGCAAGGCTCCACCCAAATAAAAAAGGGAGAAGACCATGTTTCATCCTAAATATGGGTGTAACATTAAACGTTGGTCAGAAAGGTGCACTTTAATCACCGGCCTGACTCTTGAGCAGAGCTTTTGCAGCAGTGGTCGGAATGGTCTATCAGCACTGAGTTTGGCACACACTGAGGGAAGAGTCTGATATCTTGAAGCAGTGCATACTTCTTTCCAGTACCTCAATAAAAATGTCCGAAGAAGCTTTTTTGTTTTAAATAGTTTTAATATTTACATTACTGTGCTTTTAAATTCAATATCTGTACACTATCCTGTTTGCTGCCATGTGGTTCAATGTAAGTGATGTATATTTATTATTGTAATACAATAAATAAAATATGTTCTGGTTCATTAGTAATGTGCATTTTTAATTGAGAGACATGTGGTAAACATGAACCCCTGTCCATCATATCACAGCTAATAGCACATCTAATGTGTTTATCTTGTGTTTCATCGGACATTTAGATCACCAGGGAAATCCTTTACAATGTTCCTGGACAGCCATCAGGACAGGGACAGCCAGATGCTGTAGGATTGTTTTGCAATTCATTGTTCCCCTCCAGCTCACTAGGCGCTCATTCATTACAGAAACATCTCTTGTCTAGCAGTAACAAAGTGTGAATTTGTACATCCCATCAATCAGAACATTTATGTTTATTTCATTATTTCAGAGTGAACAAAAGATAAGGTTACTGTTTATCGAATCACTCACAGGTGTATGTAAATACAGATATCTGTGTATTCACAAAACATACTAATTGCATTACAGATAGGATATGTGTCGCTATATCAGGCAGTGTATTATTTGGCTAATGTTTTTGTACACCTTTGAATCACAGTGCTTTCATTTATCTAAAGGCTAATCTTAGCAGCAATTTCACTTACGGTAATAAATGCACTTATTAAATAATTTTTTTTTATTTTTGTGGATTAAAAAAATAAAAAGAAATAGGGATGTCATGGTATTTGTATTACTATACAGGATTTATAAAGCACCAACAGTTTATGCAAAACATTACAAACCAAAGGGGAGACAGTACATTGACAATACATTACCATACAAGAGAATAAGGAGGGCCCTGCTAATGAGAGCTTAAATATAATGATTGATTGATTAATTCCCCTCACTGTGTTTTAAGCTACATTTACATTTTAAAATGAGGTGCCTTGAGATTTTAAAGGGTGCTGTGACTGGAATAAGGTTGATAAATGCTGGGTTAGGTAATGGGTTTTTTGTGTCTTGAAAAGTTTGAAAAGCCAATTAAAGTTTATCTAAAGCTGGTTAAATACCTATAGATTTTCTGCAGATTTTCTATGGTCAGATGGAAAAAGTGCAACAGATTCCTCCATCTACGCTAATTTGTGTGGATGGTGGAATCTCCCACTGGGCCAAGCTCCAGTATCTTGCTAGTCGGCCCCGATGGCTGTCAAAATACCTGAACAATCTGATTGGACGCAGGTGTTTTGAGAGCCAGCGGGGCCGACTAGGAAGATACTGAAGCTTGGCCCAGTACGAGATTCCTCCATTCAGGGTCGTCTTTTCTGCAGGATAAAAGAGGCAACTGCCCTGGGCCCACTAATTTACAGGGGCCTACAGCAGCTGTCCCTTTTGCCCGAGCATCAGACAGAACAAGCCCAGTAGTACTGCTGACAAGGAAACCGGCCGCCCTTTCTCCTCTAGTATCGAGGGAGGATGCCTGAGAGATCCGGCAGGCACGGAGCAGAAGGAGGGGAGGGCACAGCCAGAAACAGCAGAAGAACATCAGAAGCATAAGGTAAAATCAAACACTTAATTTAATAAATTGATTAAAGTTCATTTGTTCTTGTACTGATAAAGTATAAAAGCAAAGCAGGTTTTATGAATGCAATTAAAAAAAAGGTTAATTTCATAATTATTGCTGTGCATTTACATGCACATCACTAAACACTTGCTGCAAGTTGTATTCAGTACACTTTGCAGCAAGTGTTCAGTGATATGCAGTTTAAATGCAAAACATATTTTACCAATATATCCATGTCATGACTCAGAGTCCTGAGTCTATTGTGTTGCAGAGTCCTGAATCCATTGCAGTGCAAAGTTCTGAGTTTGTTGCATTGCAGAGTCCTGAGACCATTGTGTTGCAGGGTCCTGAGTTGATTGTGTTGCAGAGTCCTGAGTTGATTGCGTTGCAGAGTCCTGAGTCCATTGTGCTATTGCATTGAAATTAGAAGAGTTGAAGCTGTTATAACTGCAAAGGGTGGGCCAACTCAATACTGAACCCTACAGACCAAGACTGAGATGCCATTAAAGTTCATGTGCATATAAAGGCAGGCGTCCCAATACTGTTGGCAATATAGTGTATATATATATATATATACATATATTGTTTTTATTTTATAGCTTCTTTTCAGGAAAAGGTGATGTAGGTGGATACGGGATTGCGGGTCAGGAAGTGGGGGGTAGGTGATGGAGGTGGGAGACTTGTGCGAGCCCATCAGCAAAATCTTGCCCAGGGACCAATTAATATTAAAGACGGCCCTGCCTCCATCCACATAGTTTAGCGTAGATGGAGGAATCTGTTGCACTTTTTCCATCTGACCATAGAAAAATCTGCAGGAAATCTATAGGTGTATGGCCAGCTTAACAAAGGAATATTAGGTTTAAGGTAGCCTACTAATGTTTGATATTTAACTGATTAATCAGTACTTTTAGCGAGCCTGACATATTATAAAGTTTCTCAGAGAATCATGAATGGAGGGCTTATTAGGGTTGTCATTGAAATCATACTTGTACTTTCATATACCTATTTTATGTGACTATATGTCTTTAGTTAGAATGATGAGAGTTACAGGTTTTGTAATGTTGGCTCTTAGATTTATTTTGGAGTGCACTGTATTCGTATCATCCAGCTATTGTTATAGAGTTTCTATTCACTGTTTTCCAGCTTGGGCTTTACAATTACTGTCAGATAAAGTTTCTGCTTGAATTGTCACATGGCTGTGAGGCTTGGACTGACCCTGCT